GATGGGGCCACGGGCGTAGGGCTCTTTCAACTTCGGGACAAGGGCAAATACGTCCATACTGAGAAAAAGTGAATAAGATGCGACACTCGCTAGTGGGCCCAAACAATTTGGAAGACGTAAAAATGGCAAAACTCGGTGAACCATTGAATTATAATGGTAAATCTCAAAATAGGTGAATTTTAATGGTATATCTCAAAGTTTCGAGAATTGTAATGGTACCAATCCAAATAACCCTAAATTTAATCACGCATCATTCTGGAACCTAATCAATTTGTCTAATAAGGCTAGAAAAAGGTATAATTGTAAAACACAAGTATAGAACCAACTAACCAAGAGAACAGTCACACAAAAGCTCAACTTTCGAAATTCACCCAAAAGGAAGACAAGTGACAGCAGAAATCTTGCTTCCCTCGACAAGGGGGAAAACAGAAATCTCGTGAATTGTTTATGCTTTGGGCGTGAACCGTATGCCATCATCATGGCCGCTCATCCGCATGGTAGTCGTCATCGCTCGCCATGGCAAGAAGAATCGCGAATGCATGCCGCCGCCGCTCACCACCACCAACCGCGCCACCTTCCCACTAAACCCTTGGAGGTCAGCGGGGCAACACAGCCGGCTCCGGCCGCCGCCAGACGGCTCGCTCGGATAAGATCAAGTAGTGTTCGAGAGGGCTCAAACCCCAGCCTCCTCGCGTCCTTCCCCATGGCCTTTGATCACAAGACACGGGCCTCTAAAGGCCCTAGCCCAATAAATGTCTCGTCTAACTACAACATGGGCCTCGAAGTACCACTCCGGCCCATATATCTCAAACGCTCCACGGGCCTACATGCCATTCTCAGAGCCGCGTCGGCACCACATAAAACCCTAACGCTTCGAGGCTATAAAACGCCACTCTCTCCAGCCGCATCCCGCTCCCCGCCGCCCCTCCCCCAAGCCGCCAAAACCCTAGCTCCGCCGCCGCCGCTGCGAACACAGGTGAGCCACCACCGCAACCATGTCCGTGCTGAGCCGCCCTACCCCGGGCACGGTCCAGTGCTTCGGGCGGAAGAAGACCGCCGTGGCCGTGGCGTACACGAAGCCGGGGCGCGGGCTGATCAAGGTGAACGGCGTCCCGATCGAGCTGATCCGCCCGGAGATGCTCCGCCTCAAGGCCTTCGAGCCCATCCTGCTGGCGGGGCGGTCCAGGTTCAAGGACATCGACATGCGGATCCGCGTCCGCGGCGGCGGGAAGACGTCGCAGATCTACGCCATCCGCCAGGCTGTCGCCAAGGGGCTCGTCGCCTACTACCAGAAGTACGTCGACGAGGCCGCCAAGAAGGAGGTCAAGGACATCTTCGCCCGCTACGACCGCACCCTCCTCGTCGCCGACCCCAGGCGCTGCGAGCCCAAGAAGTTCGGTGGTCGTGGAGCCCGCGCCAGGTTCCAGAAGTCTTACCGTTGAGCGATTGCTTGCCGAATCGCAAATTTGCAAGATCGTTCTGGTTGTTCGTGGCTTCATTTCCTGTCATGGAGCTGCTTATCTATATCTAGTTTCTGCTTTACCCTAATGTTTTAGACTGGCATTGTGGTATCAATCTGAGGAGATTTTGAAGACTTAATTAGTCTCTTAAGTATGTTTTGCTTTTTATTATCTCTGTCGAGTAATTATGATATGATCGCCTATTAGTTCTCTGAAGTATGTTTTGCTTGTTATCTTACATCTACACTTGATTTGGCTTCCAATTCTTAACGTATCCATTATGTGTTTAGTTAACTTGTGCTAGTTTCTGTCTGTTTATGCTTAGTTGAATGGATTGCACGATTATGAGAGTAGTGATAGTATTATTGGTGTTATATACTGGCACATGGGATTTTACCATCTTTGCAGGTTGAAGTGATGTTAATTAACTAGCAGATGCTCAAAAGCACTAGGGAATAAATTGTGCATGTGTTTTCTATATCCTACACAGTGAAGTGAACTACCAAATGCATTCTATCAATTTTGGATGATTTGTCTCCATCTATTCATTGTAATTTTAGGATATTTCAAATGTTGGCCATGTACACAAGTCAGTGTGACAATGGAGTGGCAAATCCTCATTTCTTGCCAATTTTATTGAGTAACCCATCTGCCAATATGCTCCTTCCAATCAACTTGAGTTGTTTGCTTTCATGATTAGTGTAGTTCCTTTTTATCAGACACTTTGCCTACCCCGTCCCCCCTTGGAACCTCTGCTATGACTATTTGTGAGTAGGTGCTGCTCTTATAGTTATGACTGTCTCTGTTGTTAGTATATGGAGTATCCTGTTTCAAGGGATGTTATTCATAGCCCTAATACAGTGTTAGGAAGGTGATTATTTGATGGGAAATGGTGATTATTTGATGGAAAAAAGAGGGATTTTGTTTGCAACAGGCCCGATAAAATCCTCAATAGGGCTAGAGAGTGCTCTGTTGAAATATTCTTGTTTGTTTGCTATTTATGTCAGAAAACGATAATTCTCTGATGATCCTCTGTGCTCATAGCCCTAGTGCAGCGTTCGAAAAGAAAAACTGAGTTTTATGCTTGCTCTTGTCTACTTGAATCTTTACTGTCCTGCCGCGGGTACCCAATGGGTATGTTGGGGCTCGCCCCTTTTGAAGTCAGGGTGGGCTTTAGGATTTTAGTGACTTTATTTTGCTGTCATCGTTGTTGCTTCGGAGAAATGATTTTCAGTGGTCTTGGTTTGATGGCGAGGCACATCCTATCTTACTTTCTTGACATTGTTTAACTTGTTCATCCTTGCCATTGGCAGTTTTAACATGCTCTCGTTCTGACGTTTGTACGGTGATTAGATGTGCCCATTCTTGAGAATGCAATCCTTTGCGTTGCTTCATTTCTGTACCAAGGCACGGTAACTAATCTGGAGACTGGAGTACAGCAAGTATTGGCGGATCGGTTAGGCAGCAAATCTGTTTTGTGTTTTGTGCAAGTAATTCGTATAACAAGCATAAAACTCAGTTTGCCTCGCACTGTGGGAGGCATGTTGCCAATACTGTTGTGGGAGGCATTGGTTTTAGAAACCATGACGACAGAACACAAACATATGCGGATTTTTAAAGTATTATTACAACAAAAAAAAGGGGGTTCTACATTAGTTTTATTCCCTCTTACCACAAGCTGTGACCAAACATGGTACTAGCACAACAGGAAAACAGCAAATAACAGTGCTATTCCATGTCGATACACGGTACTCCCTCCGTTCGTACTTCGGAAAGTGATGAGCACATTTTGATATATATTGTTTATTTGCTAAAGAAACAATATTATTTGAGGCATTTTCAGTACAAATCTATTGATGTAGATTTTATGCCTTAAACTTACATATAGTTTGACTAATTATTGCCAAAGTTTGTAAATTTGTTTTTTCTTTACAAAATACGATTATTATTCTAGGACTGTTGGAGTAACTTAACTAGAAAAATCGTGATAAATGGACAGTTGCAGAAAATAGACAAATGGTCTGGGTGACAATAATATATGTGGACTAAGCACGAGCAGCTTAGGGCGAGCGTGTGATGCCGTGTGAGCCCGTGAGAGAGGAACCACCCAGTACGGCGTACGGGACACCAAGCGCTTGCCTTGCCTGACTGCAGCGCAGCATCCTTAGCTAGCATGCACGAGGTGGCGCGGTAGGCGGGCAACAGCGAGCCGCTAGGCCCTGCGAGGACGCGACCGCGAGCGTGCAATGGCGACGGCCCAGGCGTTGCAGGCGATCGGGGTCTCGCGGATGGAGCAGTGCCCGCCACCCGTTCGACGAAATTCGTCATCCTGAAGAACAGCGTGTCTCTTGTCCCTTCAGCGTCAAAGGCTCAAAGCGCGTCAACATGACACTCCACGGCCGGCAAGGTATTCTCATTCTTTCGCCAGAGCGTGTACTACGGCAAGGTATTCCCATCCTTGGGTCTCCACTCTCTTGTAAAAAAAAAGTGGCTGTCCGCGGGAGACGCGTTTTCCAGCTCAGCAGCCAGCATGCTCGAGCAAGAATCAGATTCTCAGAGTGGGCACAAACACTCTTTGCCTGTCTGCAGCCGCTCAACTCATCTCATCTCATCTCCATGTTTACCCTTGTCTTCACAACTAGCTAAGCTCACAAGTTTCCTGGCTGCACCTGTATCTTTTAGCACCTCTACTCTGCAACACATATATCCTGTATTTTTGAAGAGGAGCAAAAGCAGCAGATTTGAGCTCCAGGTAGTATTTACTTCATTTCTAACCAAGAACACGGACGTTCCTTTTATTGTTTCTTGCTCCACTAGCTTTCATCTTTTTTTTCTGTCTCACTAATAACACCTACTCTGTGCTTTACCTTGTTTTGCAAATTCTTAGCAAATAATTGGCCTTTCTTAGTATTCTTCTCAGGTATGAGGACAAGAACATTCGCCACTCATAATTAATTCATAAATCATAGTTACGGCACAAGATCTCTCTACAGCCTCTTCAGTGCTGGAAGTGGTGGTATGTTTGTATATCCATCAAGATCTAGTTCATTTTCAGGTACTGTTTCTCATCGTCTTTTATCTCAACTTCATTCCTATTTAGGAGAAAGAAGACTGGAGCTTTTTTGGGGGGAGGCGGCTGAAAGGCTGAAATCAGTTCAGTGATTTGAAGACAAATTCAGGTTAGGCTTCAGCACCTATTATTTACCCAAGTCAGATATATCAAATGAATCAACAACTGTTCCATTTCATGCACTTCTATCAGATTATTTCTATTGTTTGAATGAAAATTGCTATCAGATTGTTCCTAGCACTGGTCATAACTTAAGGCAGCAAAAGAAGAAAATAATAATAATAATCATGCATGCATGAAAGCACTGTATGAATGAAGTAGTTGCAACATGTAGAAGCCATGTTTTAGTGCAGTTTTTACATTTTGGGTGGGGGTGGGGGTCTCTATTATTTTGGTTTTGAGCTTAGCAGCTTCATCACTGTGAGTTCATTTTGCAGGAAATTCTGGCACAAGAGACACTTTAAGAAAAGATGACTGGTGTCGAAGCTGCTGCCATATCTGCTGTAGCATCTGGAATATTAAAGATTGTGGGAAACAAGTTAGCACCACTGGTGATAAGAAAGTATACCTCTACAGTGGGTGTGCAAAAAGATCTCCAGGAGCTTCAGGTCCTAGTTGAGGATATAAACTCTTGGCTGGAAAGCGCAGGATATCAAGCTTTGGGGGATGATGCATCATTTAGTTGGTTTAAACAGTTGAAAGATGTTGCTTACGCTGTTGATGATGTTGTCGATGAGTACCAGCTGAAGGCTGAGAGAAATGATGCTTCTGGTGATGGTGGTATTGTGTCCAGATATATGCGTAGAAAACCAGAATCGTTCATATTTCATTGTAAGGCAGCTAAGAAGATCAAGGCAATCAAGAAGAGATTTGCTACAATTGTGAAGCAAAGAGCCAACATCAATATAATAGCTACTAGTTTACCTGGTGGTCGTCATTCTGTTTTCCATATAAACAAGACAGCTGTGGGGCTGTCGTCAGTGCCTGCCATGGATGCGGCATTAATACTCGGAAGAGAAATGGAGAAGCACCAGCTAATATCTAAATTAATTGAAACCAGTGACCAACAAAAAACCATGATAGTCTCCATTGTTGGACTTGGTGGATCTGGCAAAACTACCTTGGCTAAACTTGTTTTCAATGATGGTAACACTATAGCAAAGCATTTTAAAGTTAGACTATGGGTTCATGTGTCACAAGAATTTGATTTTGAAAGTATTGTTGGGAAGCTGTTTGAAGCTATTGTCCATGGCAAGTCTGAATGCCATAACTTGCAGCATATGGTCAAAAGAATATCAGACGAGTTGACTGAAAAGATGTTCTTGCTTGTACTGGATGATGTTTGGACTAAGGACCGAATTGAGTTGGAACAATTTATGGTACTTATGAGGAGCGGTGGATCTGGAAGCAGGATTTTACTAACTACTCGCAATAGCGATGTTGCTGAAGCAGTGGAATCTGCATATCTATTTAACCTGCCACTCTTGTCTTTGGCTGACAGCTGGCAACTATTTCTTCAAAGCTTTGGTATGACGGTGGAAGGTTTGGACAGAGAATTCCTAGATGTTGGAAATGAGATTGTAAACAAATGTGGTGGGGTGCCGCTAGCAATTAAAGTAATTGCAGGTGTCCTCCGCGACAAGAAACGGATAGAAGAGTGGTAGGCCATTAGAGACAGTAATTTATTAGATGCTGAGGGCAAAGAGCGTAGAGTATCTGCATGCTTGAGGTTGAGCTATTTGAACTTGCCTTCTCATTTGAAGCAGTGCTTCACAATTTGTTCACTGTTTCCTAAAGGTCACAAGATTGACAAAGAACAATTGATTGACCAATGGATTGCTCATGATATGATCACTAGTGCGGATGATGTTGATTACTTGGAGTATATTGGATATGAGTGCTTTAATTCTCTTGTACAAATGTCTTTTCTGCAGGATGTGGAAGAAAATTATTATGGGAGAGTGACATGCAAGATGCATGATTTGATTCATGATCTTGCACACTCCATACTAAAAGATGAAATTTCACTTGATGTGCCAAAGGAGGGAACCAGCTTGACAAAGAGCTACCGATACTTTTCATTAACTAAACATACAAGAATTCTTCCATCCAAATGTCCTTTCGGAAAGGCACGTGCTATTTATGTTAACAATGGTGATGATACTATATTTGGAAGCACATTGCAGAATGCGAAGCATTTACGTAGTATCACTATGGAATCTATGTTTGTGGCAGCAATTCCTAGTGCCATATTCAAGGTGAAAATTTTGAAATATCTTGAGATTTCAAGGCTGAAATGTGAAGCACTCCTGGAAGCCATTTCAAATTTCTGGACCCTGCAAGCTCTTCACATGGCATCCAGTGATCTCCTCGATTTGCCTAAAACCATTGGTAAGCTAATTAAGTTAAGAACATTGAACCTATCGATGTCTCAGAAGCTAAAGTGTTTACCAGATTCCATTGGTGATTGTCAAATGATTTCAATCATTGATCTTTCCCATTGTAAGAATCTTACAGTGTTGCCAAACACTATTGGCAGAAATAAAAAACTAAAGAGTTTTGAGATTAAGTTACACAAAAATTGAGAGGCTTCCATCAAGTATCATAACACTGAGAAATCTGGAGTGTTTGGACCTTTGCACGTGTCAAGAGCTGGTAGAGTTGCCTGAAGGCATTGGCAATTTGGATAATCTTCAAGTTTTGAACCTCAAAGGTTGTAAAAAATTGGGAAGCATGCCTGTAGGTGTTGGACGGCTCAGTCGACTCCAAAAGTTGGGCTTATTTGTTGTGGGTGATGGGAAGAAGTCTTTAGGAATCTCAGAGCTTGCAAATGTACCTCGGATCAGTGACGAACTGAGTATAGAGCTATTTCACATGGGATGAACCCAGACGATGCACACAAGGCATGCTTGAAACAAAAGACAAACTTACAGAGTTTGGACCTGGAATGGATAGCACATGAGGCAGGTGAGGTGGACTTGGACCTGGAATGGATGGCACATGAGGCAGGTGAGGTGGACATGGACCTGGAATGGATGGCACATGAGGCAGGTGAGGTGGACATGGACCTGGAATGGATGGCACATGAGGCAAGTGAGGTGGACATGGACCTGGAATGGATGGCACATGAGGCAGGTGAGGTGGACACTGAGTTGGAGCAGGCTGTACTTGATGGTCTAGAACCACCACCACAGATTAAAGAGTTGAAAATTAATGGGTATTCTGGTAGCCAATACGCAGAGTGGATGCAGAATAAAGTGAGTGGCAGAGTACAGGGGCTTGTTCACTTCCCATTTTTTAGGGTGGTGAAGTTATATGATTTTCCTAACTTGAAGCATCTACATGGGCTTGTGGAGCTGCCTTGTTTGGATGACCTTGAGCTGCGAGCAATGCCTTCTCTTGAGAGCATAAGCGGAGGCCCATTTCCTTCCCTGTTGAAGTTAGAAATGGATAAACTGCCTAGTTTAGGAGAAGTGTGGTTGGTAGCTGAGAGAACCATACCTGATGGTGAAGAAGCAGGCCGCAACAATCGCACACCTGACTTAGGACAAGTCCGTGTTGGTAATTGCCTGTCATATATGTTTATACTAGACTGTCCTAAGTTGAAGTTCAAGCCACACATGCCTTTGTCACTGGAGAACCTGCAGTTGTCCGAGAGCAGCGAGCAACTGCTGCAATCGCCTGCAGACCAATGCCTGGGGTCCTCTTGCTACTCTAATTTCAGCCACCTGAAGAAGCTTGGGCTATGGGGGGATGACAGGACTAGGATTTGGACGTGGGTGGGAGCTGCTGTAACACTTGACGACACTCGAGTCATTGGAGATCAACTCCTCTCTTGTGCTAACCGAGCTGCCAGAGAGCTTGCGGAGCCTCACGTCCCTCCGGTCTCTGAGCGTGTTCGCATGCTCAGCTCTTCTCATGCTGCCCGAGTGGGTAGGGGAACTTCAGTCCCTGCAACAGTTGTTCATCTGGTCTTGTGATATCCTGAGCAGCCTTCCCCAATCAATGGGCCACCTCACATCCCTCCAGGTGCATGTCATAGATGCATGCTATGAACTTCACCAGTTGCCTGAATGCCTAGGGGAGCTTCGCTCTCTATGCAAACTGAAAATTTTCTCTTTGCCAAGGCTGGCTTGCCTTCCCCAATCCATGTCCGGCCAGGCCTCACCTCCCTTCAAGAACTCTGGATCAGTGATTGCCCGGGCGTCGCATCCTTACCGCAAGGGGTGAAATGCCTCTCCTCCCTTGAAAAGCTAATCGTCAATGGCTGCCCGGGAATCAAATCATTGCCCGAGGACATAAAAAGCCTCACAACTCTGATGGAGTTGCGGATCCATAGGTGCCCTAATCTGGAGAGGCTCTGCGAGAGAGGAAAGGGGGAGGACTGGCACCTCATCTCCCACATCCCTAATTTGAGGATTTGGCGATGCGCGGCTGCCTTCCATGGCATCATCTGGTGAGTTTGTTCTACTGTATTTTGAGCTCTACAGATGAGCCCCCTTTTCATTATGTATTAGTATTAGATCATTGGAGAACCTATGTCCTCATTGTCTTTTATTCTCTTCAAATGGTTTCAGGTCCATACGCACTTGTAATTATGCCTACAGAGTTTGCTTAGGGCATGTGCATTTCAAGGTGATTCCTCTAGTTTCTTTAAAAAAAAAACAAAATGATGCACTCATCACATGACAAATGTTCCAACTTACTACAACACATGCACATACTATCGCAACTTGGGTGCTTGATCAGCCTAGGCGGTAAAGAGCACGCGATCTCCACGAGTGCAAAAGTAGATGGAGATCCTGCTGAGTCTGATGTACTGCTCCCATCTTTCTGAATTCTGACACTACAATTACCAATGGAGAGAAATCAAGAAGTTCATACATCAAGTGAACAACCCAAAATCCATGAAGCATCCTTGACCTGTGTTGCTTGTACTTAAGCGAGATGCTACAAAATTTTCGTTGCTGCCTTATACCTGTAGAGATTTGCTGAACTGCAGTTTTATGTTCCCTGGAGGCATGGGCCTTTCTAATTGTATCAAGTGTAACTCTGCTGTATCAGATTAATCACATTTGCTAGGATCTCTCTGGCCATTGGTTTTCAAGACCTTTTGAACCATCACATATCGACACTCATTATTTCAATGACAACCCGAAAATTATCAAGATAAGTTCAAGACTTATGCTTGGCGGTTTTGTTCAAGCCTCAGTTTTGTATATTACATTTGAACCGATGCGAGGGGCTGAGGGCTTCAGGCACTCCCGGATGGAGTGCAACCTTTTCATCAGCGCAACTCCGGATCAAAGTATACATACTATAAAGGCACATTAATTGGTCCAGAATTGTCGAACAAACCCTCATGATGTCTGTGCGAAAGAAATCATAGTGATATGATGTGCTTGATACCACTATAGATATTTAAAGTTCTGAACAATTTGTGCTGCCATTTGTTAGACATTCATATAACTACAACTCTATAGCTGACGTAACACACACTCGCCCATATATAATAGTCATAGAGATGACAACCTTGTTCCAGCCAACTTTAGCCTTACATTTTGTGATAGTGAAAGATAGTAGATCCGTTGACAGCCCAAATTTTATAGCGCCTCAATTAAGACACCAAAACCTGTACAAAAATGAAAATCATAATAACTCCAGAGTTAGCTGTTATCTATAGGAATAGAAAAATCAGTAACTTGACAGAATCTTAAAACTGCATGAACAACTGAGGGCTAATCTGATTAACTGTCATATGTTCAATTAACCTAACAATGAATGAAAAAAAAACACTAACTGTTTGACATGTAGTTTACTAATTATGACACTACAACTACAACAATTTCAATTTCGAATTAGAATACAAAAGTCTACTGATTGTTTGACATGTAGTTTACTAACTGCATGTGAAAGTTCACGTCTACACAATGCAGGTTGTTTCTTCGTCAATAATTTTGTAGTGAACTTTCAGATAGAAGCGCCAGGAAAGTTGCAAGTTAGCTTACATATGTTAAAGGTAGAAAGGAACTTCAAAACTTTGAGAACTCTCTCATCAACATCTTGACACTTGACTTCAACAATGTTAAGGTGTTTTGAAATTTTAGCCGATCGCTCCATCAGATTGAAGCTTCCTTTCATTTCAATTTTATACTTAGGTCCCTGCAGTGAAATAAATCATTTTTCCCAAGATCACTCAGCGGTGTAACTATTCTCATTTGCAGCAATTGCTCATTATGTATAAAGAACATACCTCACAAAACAGTTCAAGTGTAAGCTTCTCAAGAACCGGTGAGTGTTCAAGAATACAGACTAATGAGTTGAAGTCATCAGGTGTACACCAGTAGTCATTGAGAAATAAAGCCTTCAGATTGTTAAAGACAGGGCAGAGGGCACCATCTCAAATCACTTTTGAAGTAATCTGGACAAAAAAGATGCAATAATGTAGACAATGTAGCATAAACAAGGGAATGGCATAGAGTTATTAATAATGTAATTGAGGCAAAGTGTAAGTTTACCTGCTCTGGTTCAGAAATCAACACCAAGCTCTTAGCTTGTGATAAACCTCTTAGGAGCACAGAATTACCGCTGCCATCAGTGTTCTCAGAACTGTCACACAATTGGCAGATACAATCCAAAATTTCTGGGTCTAACAGTTTTGCACAGACATCCACACATTCCTCGGTTATCCGGACAAATGCCTTCACTAATGATGACATGCTGTCAAGTATGGGAGTCATCTCCCAGAGGTCATCTAGACACAGTGAGACCAGGCTTGGGGTGTAAATGCAAACACGAGAAAAGTCATCAAAATAGCAATGAGTCAAGCTCAGATGCTTTAGGGACTTGGACGAGATCTTGTTGGCAGTCGAGAGACCACACTCAACCAACTCTAGATGTTCTAAGACCGGGCAGCTGGAGAAGTTGAGAAAACTGCTGTGGAGTTCTACACCACGGAGGTCCAGTCTCGTCAGGTGCAGAGAAACGAGAGGCAGGTCGTCTAGCACAAAGACAGTACATGGAAAATATATGGAGCTTGAGCACTCGAACTCTGCACATGACGGCATGGCGGAACCAGAGATTCACCCGCGGCACATCATCATCCTGGAATTCACATAAGTCAAGAGGTGAACCTCCGCGGAGGAGCAGCAGATGTTCCAAAAACTCAATCATCAGTAACTGGAGTTAAACACAATCATCAGTAACTAATAACTATTACATACTGCACAACCATCAGTAACTAATAAGATTAGAAGTACCTAAGTTACAAAGCTACAGGTGCAAAAGAAATGACAAGCAGGCAAACACTGACCATCTCCAGAAATTTAACATTTGAAAGCATACCAAAATTTCACAACGAATCAAGGAAGGTAACTAGTAAACACATGATCTGTATGCCAAAAATGCCATGTACTCCTATAAATAGCAATGAACTATCCAAAAAGCAATGCAAAAATCACAATAGAATCGCCACTGAACCAAGCTGATAGAAAAGGCACCACTGTCATTCCAGATCCATCAAGCAGCAGTATCTCAAAAGCACAACCTTAATTCTCATAGCATCCCAACAGCATAGTAAGCCATTCATTGAACAGGGCCAATGATAATAATACCGCAGCCAGACAAATTAACAGAGGGAACCATGACTAGCAACAACACCCCACTACCACCAGCACCAGTACAAATAAGAGGGGAGGCCACTGCTTAAAAAAAGGGGCACAAGGTCATCTGCATCACATATCTACCTACTACTAGCTGAGAAATGCCTTCTTGCAAAGAAAGACTGAGTTACGCTATGTTGAGATAGACTACTGTGGTAGCAGCGAAGTAAGATCAACATAAACTGCTGCAATTGCCAGGCCTATGCCTGTGCTGAGCCTGCTGGCGTCCTCTTCCTACTCCAATTTCAGTCACCGGAATGAACAAGCTTGGGCTATGGGGGATGAGATGACAGGGTTAGGATTTGGACATGGGTGGGAGCTGCTGCAGACACATGACAACACTCCTGAGCCATTGGAGATGAAGTCCACCCGAGCTGCCAGAGAGCTGCGGAGCCTCACAAGCTTGGAGATGAAGGACGGGCAGCTGGAGAAGTTGAGAAAACTGTTGTGGAGTTCTACACCACGGAGGTCCAGTTTCGTTAGGTGCAGAGAAACGAGAGGCAGGTCGTCTAGCACAAGACAGAACATGGAAAACATATGGAGCTTGAGCACTCGAACTCTACACATGACGGCATGGCGGAACCAGAGATTCACCCGTGGCTCATCATCGTCCTGGAATTCAGTAAATCCAAATTCGCAGAAGTCGAGAGGCGAGCCTCCGCGGAGGAGGAGCAGATGGTCGAAAAACTCACGGTGCTCTTTCGCCAGTGCCCTTCATCCTCATGGCGGCACCCACACGCAGGCCCGTAGTGAATCTCCATAGCTGGCGCTAGCGCCGAGCGAGAACACACGTCCGCACGGCCTCCGGAGCTAGCAGGAAGCCGAGGATGTGCCCAAGGACGCCATCCGGCAGGGCGTCCATCATCAGTAACAAATAAGATTCTCTGCCGGAGTCCGCTGTCCGCCTACAGCCTCCTCCTCTCCGCCTACTGGTAGGGTTCTGGGGGAAACGAGAGAGAACAGAGGAGCGCTGGAGCGGGCAATGTCCGATGCTAAGCTAGCTACGTACCGTTGCAGACGCCCTAATAGATAGTGGGCCAAAGATCGAACTTAGCGGCTGCTAGTGCATTTATCGTTTGCTATTTACTACATGGATGGTTCAGGTGACAGTGTGGATAATTCCAAAAACAATAAAAATGTTAAGATACTGATTAGAACTATGATAAAATAATAGGATGATTAATAATATCCTCTTCAACCGATATAAAAACTTAAAGATAGTTTGTCTCCATGTGATCTTAGGCCCTGTTTAGATTGAAGCTGCTAAACTTTAGCCACGCATGTTTAGTTTGGTGGACTATAAGAACTTTTCAGTTCCTTCTAGTCAGGATGTTTAGATCCAAAGTGACTAAAAGGTGAGGCAGCCTAGGCTTTAGTCCCATTTAGCAACCCCTGGAGACTAATTGGCTAATGCCCATTTAATCCTATTTAGTCATAGTGTTTACATAAAAAGTGACTAAATAGGACTAAAACCAGTCAGCTAAACTTTAGCAGCCCAATCTAAACACCTCCTTATTCATTTATGTGTTTCTCTGTGATTTATGTCATTAAATGTAATGGTTAACTAAGAAATCCTAAATATTTTAAACCAAATGATACTAGTATTGGCATATATGCTCTAAATTTTGACTATTAATATTTGGTTATTATAACTTAAGCTATAGCACCTGTTATTCGTGATTCGCTACGCAGACACTAGCCCACCATGAAGCTATTATTCGCTGTATTTAGCGCTCACTAGAGGGGATTTGCCAAGTACGGTTTTTTTTATTTTTTGATGAGGAGAATTTGCCAAGTACGTGATTGGTTAGTGCCCATGGTTGGACCAGCCTGCACCAGAGCCGGGCCAAGCGCATTCAGGCTGTGGGCGTGCGAAGTAGCTCCGTTTGGTTACCTGTTTCGCATGGGCCACGCTGTACTCAGCTGGTGATTGGTTGGCTAAACCATAGCGACTAAGCAAAAATAACACCTCATGCACACGCGCTGCACTGTATTGTTCATTCTCCATGGAAGCATGGACCGTTTGACTTTCTCAAAAGCACGTTGAAATAACTCTGCTTTCTCAGATCCAACGTTTTGTTCTGCTGTTGAATTTAACATGACGTGACGGAAATCTATATCTGCTGGACGTTGTTTGATGTATTCACTTCAATACAGATACGTTGGAGTAAAATAAAATAAAATTTAGTTTAATTCTATTTCAATCTACTTCAACATATGTGGATTTGAATACATGCGTATCCAAACAAAATCTTATAGGCTTTCTTCAGAAGCCAGAGAAGGCACGACCCGGGTAGAACGGAATGGGATTTTTTTTGACTAATTAATTCTTGCTATTTCTCTTCTCTGACCCCTGTTGCTCTTTGGTTTCCTTCACCACCACGTTTTTCTCGTTGCTGCACGGCACTCGCTCGCACAACGAGGCCGGGGAGCGAAGTCCGCACGTCCGTGGTTGGCCCGTGCCACAATTAGAACCGGGGTTACATCCAGGGAAAGTGACGGGTTGTTTCCAAACGAGTCCACGAAGATAAACTCCACTAATAATTTATCTTGTCATACAAAATATCCATATCAATATCCACTAGAATATCCTACTAATACATTTTACTATCTAGCTATGAAAAAATATCCACATTAGCATCCACTGACATATCAATTAACACATAACATTATGTCTTTACTCAAGCTATTCGTATTAAACCACATCATTTATTTACTAACATATATTTAGCTATCTACATCATAATGCTAAATTCAACCACTAACATATATTATCATATTTATTTAATGATGCTAGAAAATAAGTAGTATAATTTTACGGGCGATTTCTGCAGTAACACGCGGGGCGTTCTTGTTGTATGGTTACTGACGGAGCTACCTAGGGCCGCCGCGTCTATCCCCTGCATCACCTCACCGCTCTTCTTCTCCATCAGGCACTGGCACAGCCGCTTGGGACGGGCCAGACCGGGTC